GAAAATTTAATACATAAACTGTTACCTTGCTAACATTATATTAAATGGAATTGCTATGCTTTGCATATAGATTTTTTTTTCTTATTTGCTTATGTGCCAGATTGTACATATGCTATGAAAATGTTACAATAAGATAGCCATCAATGTACTGTGTAAGTCATACAGTATGAACAAACATGTGTGTGTAGACTAGCCTTGTTCTGTACTGGTGGCATAAAACTTTCACATCATTACAAGGACAAATTTGTAAATATTGTTAGAATGTTCTCAGAAAATACAAAACGTAAGACGACACCAAATACATATTTAGTAGCATCGGAAATGCGCGGTCGGTAGGCTATGTAGCATTATTTTAAACGGCTCGGTAGGAAAATAATCACAAAAAACATACATTAGCCGAGCTATTTAGGCCGTGTACGTTGACTTTTGTTGTCACGTGATCAAAGTTGCTTACCCATTGTGACTTCCGCTTGCGAGCGAGTTATACACGACAAACTTAAATATAGGTAAAACAGTTCAGTTAAGATCGATCATTGAATCAATGATCATATTTCCGTCCGTCCGTCACACTTTCGTGCCCGGTCCATAACTTTGTCATTTATGAAAGGAATAACTTGGCACAAATGCTTATTATGATAAGACGACGTGTCATGCCCTACCTCCAGTGTCAAGGTCGCACTTGCTCATTCAAGGTCAACATTGTCTATTTGAGGGTATATGTCGTGTCCGGTTCATAACTTTCTTAATTTTGAAGGGATTTTGTAAAGATTTGCCACAATTGTTCACAATAATGAGACGATGTGTCATGTGCAACAGACGGTCACCTACCTCCAAAGTCAAGGTCATTTAGAGGTCAAAGATTAACATAGTCTGTTATAGGGTATATTTTGTGTCTGGTCCGTAACTTTTAAGCTCGTCTGAGCTAGCTCATGGTGAGCTTTTAGGATCGTTGAATGTCCGTCGTCTGTCGTCCGTCCACACTTGTTCGTTAACACTCTAGCGGTCACATTTTTGCCTCAATCATCATCAAACTTTGTCAGGATGCTTATCTAGTAGAAAGCTCAGATTAGTGCGAACATGGGTCATCTCGGATGTAAAACTAGGTCACATGAGCTAAAAATAGAAAAACCTTTTTAACACTCTAGTGGTCATATTTTTGCCTCAATCATAATTAAACTTGGTCAGGATGCTAATCTAGTTGATAATTCGGATGAGTTCGAACATGGGTCATCTCGGATGAAAAACTAGGTCACCGGAGCTAATAATAGAAAAACCTTGTTAACACTCTAGTGGTCACATTTTTGCCCAATCATCATCAAACTTGGTCAGGATGCTTGTCTAGGTGATAGCTCAAATGAGTTCGAACATGGGTCATCTCGGATGAAAAACTAGGTCACATGAATTAAAAATAGAATAATATTGTTAACACTCTAGCGGTCACATATTTTACTCAATCATCATCAAACTTGGTCAGGATACTTGTTTAGGTGATAGCTCAGATGAGTTCAAACATGGGTATCTAGGATGAAGGAGCTAAAAATAGAAAAACCTTGTTAACACTCTAGTGGTCACATTTTTGACTCAAATGTCATCAAACTTGGTCAAGATGCTTTTCTAGGTAATTGCTCGAATGGGTTCGAACATGATGTCATCCCGGATGAAAAACTAGGTCACAGGAGCTAAAAATAGAAAAAATTTGTTAACACTCGAGTGGTCACATTTTTGACTCATTTATCATCAAACTTAATCAGGATGCTTGTCTAGGTCATTGCTCGGATGAGTTCGAACATGAGTCATCTCGGATGTAAAACTAGGTCACCGGAGCTAGAAATAGAAAAATCTTATTAACACTCTAGTGGCTACTGTATTGATCCAAATGTCCTGTAAATTGGTCTGAAAGTTTGTTTTGATGATTTCTAGGTCAAGTTCGAACATGGGTCATCCCGGATGATGATGATGATGATAATGATTATTATTATTATTATTATTATTATTGTTATTATTATTATTATGAAAAAATAGTGTCCTCAATTGAAGATATTTTTTTACATCACGTGAAGATCCTTTGAAATAGTTATATATTTGGGAAACGTGTCATATACATGTCCAAATCGTTGTAACAAATTTACCTCGTGAGTAATCGGAAAAGATGGTGATGAAATTTCCTCTGAATCAGTGCGGAACAGTTTTAATGGCACTACTGTGTCTCATTGAAGGTTCTAAGATAACCGCCGAATGAACACATCTGCGGATGTTTCTAAATTCAAAATTTCACCATTTTCGTGTTAAATGTTGAATTCGGCTTAAGCCGGTGCTAGGGGGCGTGTACGGTAACTTGCACTTTCCATTACCGTCCATGAACGGGCACAATCAAACCGAACCTGCAACATTTTCAATTTTGTCGTGTTGAACTTTCTTAAGGGATTCTTTATTTCTCTATTTAAGTGATATATATAAAATCAATAATGTTGATATTCTTGATTTGACGCTTTATTTAAATATTCACATTACTCTAATTAAAATGATTAATATACTTTTATTCCGTTTTGCTACATGTACATTCTTAACAAATCATTTTGATAGTTTACTCGTTGTTTTCATTTATTTGAACCTTCTGTCATAATATTGAATTTCAATGTTTAAGAAATTATCTTATATTTAATTGTTGGCATAATGTTTGCAAGTACATAAATGTTGTTTTCATGCAGATTATATGTATAACCAAGCTATCAATTTGGATTACAAGTGCATAATTAATATATACAGTCAGCCACTGATATTACGGTGTGTACATTGAAGAGACATAAATCAATCGATTAATTATTGTTGTTTTTATTGTTGTTGTTTTTTTGTTGTTGTTTTTTTACAAAATCACCCACAGTCATTGTGACACATTGTGACAACATTTAAAATGAGACACAGTTTCATATTTATTTGATAAATGTTGCATTTACCTACGCTTAGAATACTAATGACGTATCATATATGTCACAAATAAATAGGAAACATTTAACCACTTGACAATGGTTTTCATACACAAACAGCGTGTTTTAAAGCATATATAATGTAAACATTGAGAGCAGTAAAAAAACAAAAACAAAAACAACAAGAAACATGGCAATGCCAGGTTTTCAATTATTTAAAGCGTAAAAAAATTACATCTGCTGGAAAAAATTAAATTATCTTGACCTTGGTCCTAAGGGGATAATAAAAGTATCTCATTCTTAACTTGAAAACGATTTTCTTTTTCTAGTAACAGTAAGGTTGACCCTTGCGGATCTTAATTAAGTTAGGTCTTCACATAAGCTTAATTTAAAGCATGTTTCATTAAAACACTACTTATTGATCAGAAATCGATTTTCCATTTTTAGTAACAATAACCTTGACCTCAATCTTATGAGACCCAAAAGAAATCCCAAGGAGATCTTCACAAAATGTTACTATTCGCCAAGTTTCACTGAAATACAAATGTATCACTTCCCAAACTCTAGTTATTGACATATTTAGTAAGTGACCTTGACGTTAGGTGGGTCATTGCAATAATAAGCGAGATCTTCATTAAGCTTACTATACACCACATTGCATTGAAATATTTCATTTAAACTTTAGTAATTGACTAAAAACCCCTTGAGAAATGCGCACAGAGGAAATTGTTTACGCCCGCCCGCCGACAAACCTCAATCTAATCTAATTAAGTCCTCCCTTAGAAAAACCTGGTTAAACACACACACACACGCACACGCACACACACGCACGCACGCACGCACACACGCACACACACACACACACACACACACAAAACAAGAACAAACAACAAACAAACAAAACACACACTTTGATTTCATGCAAATAAGACATTCCATAAACAAATGTGAACAATGCAAATCATAACATCAATGAGCTGTACAATGCTGGTGTATTTTCCCATTTCCAAAACAATGACATGTAAAAACGCCGTTTATGTGTAATTTTAGATCTTAAATTAATTAACAATAGCTAAAACAATTAAAACATCAGGAAATTATAAAATAGTTGACTCTCAGGCAACCCAACACAGTTTTTATTTATTCTCCCAAGCAACCATAAGCAACCGTACAGTTAGGAATTAAACAACACCAATGATGATTTTTTTTCATAAACCAATGTGCGCAAATCAGCTATTGTTTAATTTTCTTAACTCTTCAAAGTATCAAGTAGAATTGCTGGTATATTATATGCAAAGCTTGAAATCGGTGTTTGAAGTCAAAAATTGTAACATTTTTTGAACAACCGGGGTGAGAAATCGTATTTTTTTTTTTTTTTGAAAACTATAGGTTTTACCGTAGGGCTTAGGCCAGAAATAATTTCTTTTATGTAACTCCTAGTTATAAAAGTAACAATTACTCCGTGATCGGTCTTTATTGAACTTATCAAGACAGTGCAAAATCAGCAATTATTCGCGTTTTCTTGCTCGAAAGCGGAAGTTTTAGCGGACAAGGAGTGTACATTGTGAAATTTGATTCATGCCATTGTTTTATACAATAATGTGAAACTTTTGTACATTTTTTTTTTAATTTCATCTACTGATTACTGGATGAACTTTTTTCTGTGTGTTCATATTTGAAAATTAAAATGTTTAATAATTTTCAGTGAGTTTATTTTTTGTTGTTGTTGTTGTTTTGTTTTGTTGTAGTACAGTGCTTCTGGAAATGTAACAATTTCAGGCAAATTTGGCTAACAATATTTTAAAATTATTTACTTGATATTAAACATTTTGATTTCTTTTTTACAGACAAGAAAATGGACACACAGACTATGTTATTGATAATTGATCTGACCACTGTGATAGTTTGTTTTTCTGACAAAACAAGACTTTGTTTAGAACTCAAACAAAATTAAGAAGATTTGTATATTTATACAAAATTGTTTCCAGTTTAAAGTAGGACGTGTCATTTGTTTTCTAATTGGAAAGTTTTAATTTACAGACCACTGTAAGGGAAATTAGAAATCATTGAAACAGAATGAAAGATTTTTCGGAGGCTGTCATATTATCTTGGATTTTATTAACATCAACTGATGCTTTAAAAGGTAACGGTAAGTACAAGGACTAATAACATTTGTATATACATGTAATATAATTTCCAGATTTGAATAGAAGCATCAAAATTGAAGGTGAAAGTTATAATCTGAAGCATAATTTAAAGTGTATTTATTTTGATATGAATACTATTTTTAAAAAAGCTCTGAAAAGCGTACTTTAGCGCATTACACTTTTCAACAAATGTCATATTCTTTCAAAACAATATTCATAGGAATCCGGATTATTTCTTAGATCTAAAATGGACTCTAAGTGAATTATAATTATATATAACGAAAGTTTAGCTTATGATTCATAATGCGGATTTATTTAACATGGCTTTTTACAAATTATTTTATATAAAATAATGTTGAAGTGTCTGCAGTTGAGTGGAGCACTTCATAATTATCTGGCTGAAGTCAGCTGTTATACCCCTGGAACTCGCTCATCTCCATATTCCATTACATTGCTCAAAACTAGATCGAAGGTCCCTTTCTTTTTCTCATCGAAGTCATGCCTGTATTCAAGAATAAGTTATGTTATGTTTGCTAAAAGTAAGTGAGAAACTAAGTTCCTCTGCCCCATGCATGACATCAATATAAAAGTCAATTTTTTATCTGCAACAATTTGTTCTTCTACTTGAGTAAGACCCGAGCATATTCTGTTTGGGTAAAGAAATACATGTAGTTCAAACATAATTCTAAACTAGTTAGTTGAAATAGTCAATCACTAGCGTGTAGAAATTAAGAATTTTGCTTTTGAACATTGACTTACAAATAATAAAATAACAACCAGTTAATATATATAGCAGAAAAAGATTTTCTGTAAAAGCTAAAAATATAATCTACCATAAATTAGTAGCGTTATCTGTACCTATTTGAGATTAAGTGAAAATTGCATGAAACGTGTTTTATTTTGATTTATTTTAATAATTCTTTATCTAAAAATGTGGCACTTTAAATATACTAATAGACATGATGAAATATTATTAATTTTGTTTTATTGCATAGAATATGCAATACATCCGATAAGCCAAGATTGGGGTAAGGCCCAGGAAATCTGTGACATACATGGTCGTTCTCTGCTACCTGACATAGGTTTAGACGGTTTCAAGAAGAGTGGGATATTTGATGATTTAGAAGCTGAGGAACTTGTCTGGTTAAATGCCAAGGATGTTAAGATTTGCTATCCATGTAAGTATCCTTGAACCAAACTCGAAAATATCAATAAGTCCTAAAGTGTTAAATGGCATATTGATGGAAACTTTTGTTTTGTAATTCGTCGATCTTTTAATACAATAAATACTCTATAAAATTATGGTTTTGATATTCATAAGTGTACTTGAGACAAGTCATATTAAATCAGCAGGTAAAATGTGACTGAGACCATGTTACGTCGTAACACTGAATTCATGATAGATACAATGCTAGTTACCTCATTAAAATCTTAGATACAATGCTCACAGTATATAAACGATTTGAACCCCAACCGGATCTTGTGAGAAGATCTCAACATTATTTCCGTACAAACAGGCGGGGTGACCCATAAAACTTTTTAAGACGGCTTGCATTTAATCTGTGACGGTATGTAAACATTTGAATCATATTAAGAAATAGTTTTTCTTTGCTTATAACCAGCTTCTTTAAATGTATGCGCAAAAATGCTGTGCTCTTCGCTTCGTGTTTTGTTTATGTCAACACACGCCGATTACACACGCAAATTTATCCCTTAAATTGTTTTATTTCACTATAACTCATATCTGAATCTTAACTTTATTCTCTTACCTCTTGTTACCGCACAGACACTTGTGTAGATATCTTTGAATATTGATAAGAACATAGTAAATAATAGAGGCGAACATTCTGATAACTGTACCCGTCTTGCTAAAAACAATTTTAATGACCTGTACCCTACTTGTGTTTTCACTGAACCATAACTTGCGAGTCACTTTTGATGATTTTTATTGTTTTTGTCCTATGTTCCAAATTATATCTTGCAGAATATGTAATAATAATAATAATAATAATAATAATAATAATAATAATAATAATAATATCTTTATTTAAAGAAGGTTACACATTAAGAATATACAATAACAATCATATATATCTTATTTCCAATGTGGCCTTCTGAAATAGAAAACAACAACAACAGGACATGCATAGGTAGAAAAATGAATGTATAATATGTAATTTTTAGAATAATACAACTCATATACTTTCGACAGACACTCAACAATTTGTTTAAACATATACGTATATTGCATCATTCGTTCGTTCGTTCATTCGTTCGTTCATATATTTATTCATTCATTCATTCACTCACTCATTCATTCATATGAACATCAAGATATGCTTTGTATTTTTCTTTAAAACATTTAAGGTTATTAACATTACGAATATTTAAAGGTATATTGTTCCAAATGTTCATGCCATAATAAGAAAATGTGTCTTTAATATAATTTGTTTTAGGTCTTGTCCATAATACAATATCTTTTCGTGACCTAGATCTTAAGTTATATATTTTGTTGTCGGATAAAGTCATCAGTTCTGTCATATAAGTCGGTGTCATGTTATTTAAAGTTTTAAAAACAAGCACCGCCGTGTGGTATTTACATCTGTCAAGGAACGGTAACCAATTAAGAGTTTCGAATATATTTATTGACGGAGATCTTTGAGATTGCTGTAAAATGATTTTAGCAATTTGTTTTTGTATCTTACAAACATTATTTATGTAGTTTGTGTTTCCTTTACCCCATATAATACAACAATAGTCCATAATGGGCAATATATATGCATTGTAAAACAATAATTTTTTTACAAACATTGTCAATTTGCAAGTGCCATTTTAAGTTGTTATCTATGCAAATACCCAAGACTTTTTGATCAGTTACATTTTCAAGAGCTATTTCATTTATCTTAAGAATAAATTTTCTCATAATATTTACTTTTTGTCTTGTTCCTATTACCATACATTTTGATTTATCTGGATTTAAGGCCATATTATTTATTTTGCACCATTTGTCAATGTTATTTAAATGATCTTGAAGTTTTATTTCTACTTTTGATATATTTTCTCCGGACTCATAAAGAGTAGAATCGTCTGCGTATAAATCAATTTTTATATCATTACCAATGAAAGCTATGTCATTTATGTATATTAGAAATAATAAAGGTCCTAATATTGAGCCTTGTGGAACACCGGAAATTATTTTCATTGTCTGAGATTGAAGATTACCTATCTTAACCAGTTGTATTCTGTTAGAAAGATATGACTTAAAAAACTTAACGGCATTTTCAGAAAAATGATAAAGTTTAAGTTTATGCAAAAGTATTTCATGGTCAACCAAATCAAAGGCTTTCTTTAAGTCTAAGAATACAGTCCCGATAATTTTTCCACTGTCAACATCTTTAAACCAAGTATCTATTAAACTAATGAGTGCAGTATTACATGAATGATTTTTACGAAATCCTGATTGTTTATTATGAATTATGTTCGTTTTTTTTTCAAAGAATTAGTGTATTTGTTTGGCAATATGGCGCTCAAATATTTTGGATATAGTTGACAAAATTGATATCGGTCGATAGTTATTTGCTACATTCTTTTCCAGGTATAACTCGAGCTCTTTTTAAATCATCTGGGAAAATATTAGATTTAATACTATTATTGATAATTGATGCAATTATTGGTGTAATATAATCTCCACAATATTTGATGATGTTTGGTCCAATTCCATCTAATCCTGTAGATTTTTTAATATTCAGTTTTTCAATAATAAGTTTTACTTCAAACGGTGTAATTAATTCAATATTAAATTCATGATATATTAGCTTTTGGTCTAAAGTTTCTTTCAATTTTGAAACATTTGTATTTGAAAACTTTGTTTTATGTATGACATTCGAGATATTGACAAAATACTTGTTTAATTCATTTATAATATTTACAGTTCCGTAAATTTCTTTATTACTTGTCACTAGTCTGTCTGGAATTGTTATACAACCTTTTTTATTTAGATTTGAAACGTCCTTTAATTTTTTCCATAAAAATGCCGGGTCTTTATTTTTAATAGCATTGTTAAAGAAATATGAAGTTATTGTGTCACAAGAGCATGACACATCTTTTAGTTCTATATAAGTAACTGCACCTTCATCATGTTTTCACTTTCCATGGAAATACCAGCATGAAGTAGCTGGTAATACGAATGAGAAAGAAAATTATTTTTTACAGGAATTATCAACCAACAAATCTTATCTTCATTTACCATTCATTTTTCTTTGAAAAAATATAAAGCTAAGATATAACATAAGTACTATAAACGTTTCTACTATTAAGTTCAAAGTTGTAAAACGTCACATATCAATCCATCCTCCTCGACAGATCATCACAGGATTTTTTTGGCAGATTACTTACTAGTATTTCAACATGTTGAAAGCTTTACACCTACCGTTGATTTCAATATGCTTTTTGAAACACGGTTTTATATTCTCATTAATGCCTTGACTTTCTTTTTCTAACATGCACGACTACACTCTTAATAAATCTTTTTAAGGAGTTTCCTGCATATTGTTGTTAAATGTCTAAAAGGTAGTTTTCACTCTTGCAAGTTTATTTCCACTTATTTTTTTAAATAGTTTACAGTCTTGTCGGTGTCTAAGATAACTTGTAAGTTTATTTTTTCACACAACTTAAAAAGTTTATCATTGGCTATCATAAGTTATCTTATGTAAAAAGATATTTATACATGTAAATCCAGTTCCTTTCTATAAATTGCCATATACATGTATTTCAGATGGATTTTGATGAATCATTTGTAGTTAAGGGTCTTGGCAGTAGCTTTCATGTAACAAGCACAACACAACATAAATGTGGGATTTGTGGAATAAGTTGACACCAAGTTTAAACTTAAACTCTACGTCATCTGTACTAAAAAAACGTATCTTTTGTCGATGTGTGAACATCTTTAACAGGCGTTTTGATTTTTTGACATTTCTTGATTGGGGATTATTTTTCAAGTCCTTCTTGTCTTGAAATTTTTAATGTTTTTGTAATAGCATTTGCTTTTAAGGTCATTTTTTTAGTTCTTTTGGAATAATTCTAAAGTCTTTTGAGTATGATTTTAATGTTTCTTTTATTGTTGTCAAGCTCTGATGTCCAAATTATGAACAATAGTGTTTCCGATTATTTTTGAAGAGAAAGGGGGCAATGAAGACAACTGAATTATTCCATTTTGCCTGTCAATAAACAAATAAATACGTTAAATAATTTACGTTCTGTTCTCTCCATTTAATCGTTAAAAATACTCACAAGTCAGGGTACAGATAAAATTCGGAAACTCACAAGTAGGGTTCACAATCACAAGCAAGTAACGTTCAGTTTACGGAGTTGACCTCCTTTATTAAACTCTTAATTTAATGTTCAAAATACAGCAATATTTTTTGCAGATGACTAAATTATCGTTTGTTATTGATTATTTTAGTAGTTCGATATCACAATTCAATGTTTAACTAAATAAACCTTGAAATAAGACGGATTTTTGCTAGTGTTCAGTGTTGATCACCTGAAAGCAGTTCGTGAGTTTCGATTATTTTATAGCTTTAATGCTAACATTTATATTTTGCATAACTTAAACGCTTAATAAAGTTTCTCTTCTACGATATAAATATAGATTTACTAACCTAACGTCCATAAGTATCAATATAAATACCAATATATTAAACAAGTTAAGCGTCAGAAAATGGCTGACACTGACATCTTCTCACAAGATCCGGTTGGGGTTCAAATCGTTTATATACTGTGATGCTGGTTACCTCATTAAAATCTTATTTTACCGGATTCTTTCTAGTGTTATATGACACCAGTTAGTAGTTTTGGAAATGTCTTACATATACCGATTATGAACAAAATAAAGGTTAAAATGCTTAATGTACTTAATAATTTCAATGAAACACAAACGTAGCCTTCAAAAATGTAGTCAGATTCTCACAAATCATCTAAAAGTAAGTGAACATATTCCTGGAAAAAAAATCGTAATTATGGTTGAAGTATAATGTTTTAGTATCCATTTTTTTGTCATTCAATGAATACTAAAAAAACAACATGTGTTTGAATTTTCACAGAAGAGCAAAAGTTGACTCCTCTACGGAGTAGTGGCGACATATAGGGATCACTTCTCCGTCGTCTCTCTCTCTCTCTCTCTCTCTCTCTCTCTCTCTCTCTCTCTCTCTCTCTCTCCGGACGACTCCTCAGAATCTCCTAGTGCGTTCAATTTTTTCCAAACTTTACAGGAATGATCAGTACCAAAGTTGTGCATATCGTCTGCATTTTCCAGTTAAATGATTTTTGTCAGAATTATGGCCCTTTAGTAATTTTTATTTTTAAAGTTTGTCTTGATTACTTCCCCTATACCACTAAAGCAACATCAATGAAACTTTACAGGATTGATCTGTGACTCAAGTACTACACGGGTTTTCGGTTCAGTGATTTTTGGCGCAGTTATGGTCCTTGAATTTTGTGTGTTGCCAACTTCACAAAATCTTGTTCGAACTACTTCTTAGAAACGATTTCGTTCAAACTTGATAGGAATGATCAGTACCAAGTCTAGTTGTGCATATTATCGGCTTGGTTCAATGATTTTTATATGCCTGTTTTAAAACGGGTCGTATTGTAGGTTCCCCCTGGCGGGCGGTCTGGCGGCCGGGCGGCGTCCAATATATTGTCCAGAGCATATCTCCTACATGCATGGAGGAGTTTTAACGAAGCTTCAAAGAAATATTTACCACATTAGTTTCTAATTTCTGCAGAACAGAACAGATGAACACTAACATAAACATAATGTATATAAATAGTAGCTGTGTCCGGTTATTCATTTCATTTAAATTGATTTTTATAAAAAAATCAAGCATGATAGTCCGATATGAACTTACAGAGTCCAGTATACTTAGCTTCTCATTTGGTAACTTCATCAACATTTTACATTTTAGCTTGATGCATATAATGGTCTCATTTGCCTCCCTTGTGTCTTTTAGTTATATGTATTTAATAGAAAAGAAAAAGTAACATATATTTAGACACATTCAGTGAAGATAACTCTTGAAGAATTTCAATGATTGTGTTTTGGCATGTAAGTATGTTAAATCGAAACACAGGTCCGGTTATCAACTACCAATTGATAGAGTTATGCCCCTTTAAACCAAAATTTCAGTGGAGCAGGATAACATTGATTGTGTTTCTAACTTTCTACTTGGCATGTACATGTATGTTAAAACACAGCTCAAACAAGATTTTCTCAGCAGAGTTATGACCTTTTTTAAAACAACTTTTTCTGTGAACTAATTGGGCATTTTATTGATTGTAATTATTTTTGACATGCAAGTATGTTATATCAATCTTTGATTTTTACTGCAATCAACTTATTCATGACAAGAGTTATAGCCCTTTTTAACCAAATTATCTGTGAAATAGTTGCTTTTTGCAGGATAACTTTTGAAGGAAATTAATGATTGTGTTTATTCTTGGTATAGAAGTATGTTATATCAAAACACAGGTTAAGTTTTTATTTTTGCAGCGACTACCGTGTTTCAGGGTTTGAACTCGCTATAATATTATTCAATTTTCACTTATTATTTGCGTGCAATGAATATCGCGAAAATAGATTCACTAAATTTCCCTTCAATTTAATAAAAGGATTTTGCAAGCTGCTTTAAATTTGCAACTTAGCTTAGTTTTTATATATTACATTGTGATACATAGAAATCAATATGTCAAATATCAATTTTCAATATTCATGGTCGTTAAAGTGACATTATGCTCATATTTTCATACTCAAGTTGAGCTGAATTGACTTTATATTTCAAAAGATTGACTGTAAAAATGGTGTTTGACCAACAGTTGATATTGGAAAATGTTCAGGATAAAATTATAAAACTGCCTAAAATTTAAAAAGACTGCTCCACTCTTTTTATAAACTGAGCGTTATATAGCTAAATTCTATTTACAGAAAATTTATTTGGATCTGTGCATTATTTATTGTAAATTATTAAATTAAAAGGAATTATGGCCAAATGAAAACTTACTTTGATATTCATCTGTTCAACCACTATATACCTTTGGATGGGCATAATGGCACTATTAAATGGGTTTTTTTTCTGGTGTTTTTTTTTAATTACATAATAATCTTAAGTGTTACATTGAGCAAACGGGTATTTCTGTTTAAGTATATTTACCTGTATGTCCAATGTAATACCAATAACGATACTAAAAACGATAAAGAATAATGTAAAGAATAAGGTGAGATAAGACACCAGACAAGTGAAAAAAAATAAAACTCTGACAAAAAGAGTTATCTCTCTTTGTCAGCAGAAAAATGCGGGGAAAAAACAGTTAAAAATTAGATATGCTAAAATTAGATTTCTGACAGAATCACATAATTTGTTGTATGCAAAATAACCTGATGTATGGTAACTTATTACCGATAGAGTAATGCCCTTTTTAAATGAATTTTCTTTAAATTTACTGGTTTCCGCAGGATATCTTTTGATGGATTTTAATATGTTTGTTTATACATACTTAACAAAGAAGTATGTTAAATTAATACATAGTTTCATTTTTGCAGCAACTAACTTTTACTGACAGTTTTATGCCCCATTTGGACTGAATTTCCTGTGTAATTATTGTTTTCCATTTCGTTTTTCCATTTTTCATTTCATCCTGAAACTTATCCATATATTTATTTAGTTTATCAATATCTTTATTTAGTTATACGAATTTGATATAGTTCCATTGTGTTTGAACTATCAGCTTTACTTATAGAAGCATACTGTTATCTGTTCCTGGAACCAACCAGTGCTAGACAATGAGTGACGGTTTCTTGCCCATGGAAACAGTGGCTTGCCCCTTGCAGGATCTGAACCCAGTGGCCAGCAATCCTTAGATTATTACTTGTCTGATGCATAACCGCTCGGCCATCCAGCCACTCATAATCTTAATTTACTTTTTATTTTACATAGATTTATCTAGAATGAGTCATATTTATAAATCATAAAACAAGAATAAAAAAAACCAACCCTTGCCCAATTTGACCCAATGCTCTACATCTTCATTGAGAAATTAACCTCCAATATATTGAATTAACAAATCATTGTGCCATGCCAATTCTAAAATGCTGTCCTGTGTTATTTCCATGTAGTTAATATGTTATTTTCAGAAACTTTTCCTTGTCTGCAATGCATTTTGTTCATTGTTTACATGCCATTTTGTCAAATGCAATAACATTATAATTCTGTTTTTTTGTTTGTTTTTTGTGTTTTTTTTTCCACAAAACTTATAGCTAGGAGATCCATTCATTTGAAGCTTGCTTACATACCTGCAGATTCCATGTTGACGGCTTATCTTTGCCATAATGGTAAGGTTTCTTTTATATCCTCCATTTGACAAGGGGCTGCCTTTTCTCTTACGTGTGGTAAAATCCTATAGGGATGTAAAATTGTGTAATGTAAGCTAACTTACACAAGCTAGATCACCCTTGAAAATCACTACTGAGATCTAAAAATGCTGCTTTGAACCTTCCGTTTGTATGTATTCTATATTGTTAATGTGGAACAAAAAGGGGAAAAAAGAGCAGCTTTCGCTGTCGAGTACAGACCCCAGTCCTGTAACTCATTTTTATGGTTTTATATCATAAATATAATGCTCAGATGAAGATTTATCAATATTGTAAGTTCCAAAAAAGCATTATTTGTAAAGTTATTACCGAATTTACATTTGATGTTAATAAAGGGTGGTAATTAGAAATTTATTTTCTATAAAGTCTAAGTCATATGAATGCATATATTTGAATGATTACATATAATGTGGACAAATATTTGAAGTATATATTTTACATATTCTTCGATGTTTGAAAATTGGTTTGGAAGCATAATTATATACATATATAAAATTTCAATTAAGTGTGGTAACAACCTTAATAACAACATACAGGATCTTTAAAATAATTAAATTTCATGGCCATGGCAACCAAAAGAGTTCGTTTTTTTAACAAAATCTTAAAATCTTCTTGTCAAAAACCAGAAGGTGTTCAGCCTTGATAGTTGGTATGTAACATTATCTAGTAGTCCTCTACAAAGATTTTCAAATTATGACCCTGTGATCAAAGGGGCCACGCTAGGGGGCTTATCAGTTTTATAAAAAGTTATATAGGGAAATCTTAAAAATCCTCTTGTCAAAGGGCTTATCGATTAAAACGAAATTGAATTATTCTTGTCAAAAACCACAAGGCTAAAGCTTGATATTTGGTATGTAAAATCATCTAGTGATCCCCTACAAAGATTATTCAAATTATAACCATAGGATCAAAAGGGGGGGGGGGGGGGGGGTCTCCTTGCTTTTATATATAGTTATATAATGAAATCTTAAAAAAATCTTCTTGTCAAAATCCACAAGGCGTTGAGCTTGATATTTGGTATGTGATACAAATATTGTTCAAATTATGCCTCTAGGATTAAAAGGGGCCCTGCCAGGGGGCTCATCAGTATTATATAAAATTATATAGGGAAAATCTTCTTGTCAAACTCACAAGGCGTAGAGCCTTGATATTTGGTATGTAATATGATCTAGTGGTTCTCTACTAAGATTGTTTAAATAATGCCCCTAGGATGAAAAGGGGCCCCACCAGGGGGGGGGGCTAATATGTTTTTGTAAAATATTTAAAATCTTCTTGATAAAATCCACAAGCCCTAGAACCTTGATATTTAGTATGTAACACCATCTAGTGCTCCTTTTCAAACATTGTTCAAATTATGCCCATAGGGTCAAAAGCGGTCTCTCCAGGGAGTCATCAGTTTTACTTTGAGTTATATAGGCCTAGAGCTTTGATATTTGGTATATAACATCATCTAGTGGTCCTTTGAGAAGATTGTTCAAATTATTCCCCTAGGATCAAAAGGGGCCCACCAGGGGCCTAATTAGCTTTTTTAGAGTTATTTGAGAAAAATTCTTCTTTTCTAAAATCACAAGACTTAGTGCTTTGATATTTGATATGTAAGGCCATCTAGTTGTCCTCTAAAATAAGGGAAAAGCACATTTAAACAACATCTTAACCACTGATTCAATTTTGAAATAATTTAACACAAAAATTTCCTTGGTGATAGTGTACAAAATTGTTTAGATTAAGCTGTCCCTTGTTTTCAAATTGTACTTCTGAGTAGAAAAGGGCTCCCCTGTGACCTTTCGAACTATTTATCAGGTGAGCGATCAAGCGATCTTGTGGTTTTGTTGTTATTGTTGTTGTTGGTTTTTTTTCAGCAAATAATCAAGAAACAAAGAAATATGCGGATATGCCACATTTATCTTGGGATGAGGCCAACAATGAATGTGAAAGTTCTAGTGGCTGGACTCTTGCCAGTTTATCATCAGCTAAAATACTAAAAGGCGCAGTTTCTCTGCTAAAAAGAGATGTCCCTTTCTGGGTGGCTAATATGAGCAAGATTCCGGATGTAAGTATGTATGATAATTCCATTACAAAGATAATACATATAGCTGACTTTCAGTAACATTTTATGAATCCCCCCCCCTTCACATACAAAAACAAAAATAAAATGTGTAGCACATTGGGGCAGTGTGTCATGTGCAAGATATAGTTCTGAAGCTCAAAGGTCACACAATGCATTCATATTATTATAATTATTTTATTATTATTATTATTATTATTATTGTTATTACTATTGTTATTATTATTATTATTATTATTATTATTATTATTATTATTATTATTATTATTATTATTAGACCTTATGAAGATATGTCATACGCAAGAACCGAGTTTCTACCTCAAAGGTAAGGTCAAACTTGTAGATCAAAAGTCATCATGACCTCTAGCAAGAAGTATTAATGTATTAATGTCATAATTTGATAACATTTTAAGGACATTATGGTTCACACAATGTATACATTTCCCCTTGTACAGGAAGGTAGTAAAGATTAGATTAAATATTATACATTGTCTCTAATGATGGTTTTAAATGGTAATTGTTTATATTTTTCAGAAATATGTAATGCTTAATTGAAAAGATAGTAATTTTAAGAAAAAAATACAGCTTTGTAAATATTAAAATTTTTATCAAGTAAGAATACTTTTATTTTGAATCAATTATTACTCTATGGCCTTTGTATCTGAACATTACCCACATCTTCACATTTTTTCACATATTTTATTTGACATGCTGATTTATGACCTTGACACCCAAATTCACTAGACACTATTTCATGATGGCAGAGTTTAATTGTATAGAAACAAAACATGATCTACTTTTGTTCCTGCTATTTTGTGTTGTATTAATGCGGTAACATACCATTTTTCACAAATGCAATCATGTTTTAAGTAGAATTTCAGAAGATATAATAGCGTATGCCTTGAGATATAATATGCATTGTTAGTTTCAGAAAAATATAACACTGATGAAATGTGTTTGGGTGTTATGAAGATGAATGATGGTTCATTGACGTACAGGAGGGACAACTGCACAGAAAAACACAAGTTTGTCAGTATACCATGTAAGACTTTTGTTTCATTTTCAAGATTTGCTTTTACTTCATATTTGTTTAATCAACATCGAAATAATAGGACAATATTTTATTAAAGTTACTGTTTATAACTCTCCAGGAACGATGGTTAGGAAACTACCCGCCTATATGACTGAAATACTGTTGGAAAAAGGCGTAAAATGAAACAAACAAACAATGTCCCAGTATAATTATTTTCTCTATAACAAAGTTGTCATGATTGTTTAATAGAAAAATCATCGATAAATTGTAATAAAACTACTATACATAGCAGCATAATTCTTTGTTCTGGAACATTTTATTTTGTTTACAGGCAATATTCATGTCGGTTAAAAAGGCAGAGACATTCTTTGTTATAGCTTTTCAATAAATTGACCATAATTATGGGAACAACATAATTTAACTATTTTATAGATTTAATAAAAAAAAGTTAAGATAAAGCTTTATACCCTTTAACTGGTATGTGATCATAAGAAAATGGCCTTCGCAGCCATTGAAAATGTATTGGAGGCACAGTTTAAGAAAGAAAAAATGTTGCCGTGAATGAGTTGTCATCAAATATTCCTTGATATATAGTCCTCTGTAGTTTCTTTGCCCGAAAATAGAGTGAAATAAGAATCCTTAAAGGAAGCCCAACGCGGCAAAATTGACAAGAGTCACCGCAACGGGGGACAACGCTCGACATTTTTCCTTGTTCTAAAAGCAAACAAAGAAATGTTTGAACAAATCTTAACGTTTCCTTTTTATAAATTTAATCGATCTGTCTTGTCACATTAGTTTTGTCTATATATTTTGAATATATGCATTTATATTATACGCGGGTATATCTATATATAGCTCGAAAAAAAAAGGAACGGCCGCTGTGGTGTAGTGGTTGGCATACTGGACCGGCAATCTAGAGACCCGTGGTTCGCGTCCCGGCTGCGACGTGCCGATTTTTCATGCGATTTTCTATGTATAATTTCCTGCTCATGACTTTCTTTCATTTTATACACACACACACCAATAAATTTGTATGGTCATTTAATGCACAAATCTGAGAAAATTCAGTAATTTAACATTCAAGGTCAAGGTCAGAGCCAAAGTCAATTTGGGTTTGATAAACAACAAGGTCTTGTCTTTAAGAATGTTCTATTATAATATGAAGTTGAACCCTTCAATAATAGCAAAGTTACAGCCAGATACAGCCAAAACAATGAAAATTTCAATAATTTGACTTTCAAAGTCAAGGTCATTTATGAGTGAAGGTCAAGGTATGTCTAGTTATTTTTAAGGGTTATCCTTGAAGATTATTATGTTCAAGTTTTAAGACAATCCATTCAAAAATAACAAAGTTACAGCTAATAATAGCCAAAAAAAAATGAAAATTTCAATAATTTGACCTTTAAAGTCAATGTCATTTATGAGTGAAGGTCAAGGTCTGTCTGGTTATTTTTTAAGAATAGCATTGAAGATTATTTTTTTCAAGTTTTAAGACAATCCATTTAAAAATAACAAAGTTACAGCCAATAATAGCAAGAACAAGCATAATTTGGACATTTGACCTTGAAGGTCAAGGTCACTTATGGATGAAGGTCAAGGTTAGTAAAGTCTACTGAAAGGTCTTGTCCGAAGGGTTGTTGTGGCCAAATATGAAGACAATACACCAAGAACTAAAAAAAGTTATGATCCAGGTATAAGTATTCAACAGTATTCAAGTGAGGAATACTGGAACCACCCAACAAGAAAGATGCCGAATAGATAGAACTAAAATACCACAAGCACAACAATAATGTCGTGCTGAACGATCTTTAAGGATCGGAAATATAACATCCCTGATTGAATGTACAGGGCGACTTTTTACAGCCTCCAAACGGCCCAAAGTTTCATTTGAAATAATTAATGTATCACCATAAAACGGTCTTATAATCTCTACAGGTTGCTAGTTTTCAAGATTCACATACATCCATATGTTAGATAATAATGGCCTTCATGTTTTTCAGCTATTAATGATTTTGCTCTGGCTATATGGCTAATGTCAAGACCACACCCACTTTTCCCCAGGATGATAGAGCAAGATATTGAAACTGTCAGTATTACAACTGGTGAATATGAGATTGAAGGTAAGTTCAGTAACATGTCTGACGTTCGGAATGATAGCAGTCATTACCTGCTTAACCTATACCATGCTATATATCTTGAAGAACTTCCATCATTCACTCTGAACAAAACCATTCATCATTTTAAGGCAAATTCCAAGACATTTACTGACTAATAAGCAAACAGTGCAGACTATGATCAGACAGTTAGGTATGCAGTATGATCTTGGTTTGCACTGGTCGCAGGGGAAATTCAGTTGCCGCTTATATTAGAAGGGAAAAAATTCTAGAATTGAAAATATGAAAAGCTGATTTATATATGTGCCCCATCACGGTTTTAACTCATTAAAGGGACTCAACTGAGTTTTTTTTTTGTTGTTTTTTTTTTTGAAGGGACTGGATTTTTTTTTTGATATTTGTGTACCATTTTATGTATGGTAGGTGTAGACCAGTGACATGTGTGCAACAGTTCATGCCATTTCATTCGCTCACACTGTTTTTTCGGAATGATCATTTTTATTTAAATTTGCAAAATTACAAAAAAAAATGAAAAGCATTTTAACATTGTCATTCAAATCAGGCTTTAATTGCACAAATTTATTTTTTCATATTGAGCATATTATTTATTACTTTTTGTATATTTTTCCTTGTAAGTGCATCAGTTGATTCATGTTAAAATTTAAATAAAATAATTATGTTTACAGTTTACGACCTCGGTGGAGTTCTAAATATTAATCTAAGTGATTTTAAATTAAAGGAGCATCACACCATAGTGAGAGTACAAATGAAGGTATGTATGGTGGAATTGCAGGAGGAGCTGTGGGCGGAGTCATAGTTATAGTTTGTGTCATTGTCGCTGTTTACTTTCTCCGAAGACGATTGCGCAGTAGGCGAGACTATCTCAGAAGTTTAAAAAGATACACTCAGAGGTTTGTTTATTTCTGTTACAATGTTTATCATGCAGCAACACCCACATACATCCTTCTCTGAAGCTGTTAATATTGCCTATCAATTTACTAATTATCTTATATCATTCTGTTCTCCTTAAAACAGACTCGCCTAAAAGAAGCTAATAACTTGTTCTAATAGTGATATAAATGATTTTCATTTATTTATTCTCATAATTTCACATTATTCTATTTTCACACAGGCATGCAAGCTCAAGGGGAATGTTGAGTCATACAATGTCAGCGGTCAACACTTTATCACAGGGCAACACTTTATCACAGGGCAACACTTTATCACAGGGCAATACTTTATCACAGGGCAATACTCTATCAAGGTATTCTTGTAAACCTGACAACTGCATAGCTAAACAGAATGACAATGATGTTACACAAGCAGAATATGAGGTATCAGCAATCTATTTTTAGGTTAGGTCAGAGGTCACAAGTTTTATTCATGTGCCTTTTAATAGTAGGTGTAATATACAAAATGGTACTAAGGAATTTACTCCTTCATGAAAGTTGGCCAATAAGGAAATAAATTTAAACGAGCCTTGCACTTTGTGTGTGAAGTGCTATCAAGCTCTTATGTAAAATATTTATATTTCTATTCAGGCTGGCCTCTTTCCGAAATAATGCAAGGAGGGGCATCCCTTTACTAGCCTGCCATATGAGTTAAAGCTGCATTTTATAAATTTCATAAAAACAGAAATAGCTACATTTGTTTAATGAAATTGGTTTCATATTGTTCTTTTTTGGTGTCCAAATGACCAAAATGAGCTTTATAAGCTTAAAAGTCAGCAACTTTATTATGTCGAAATTGAGAGTGTATTTCCTATTTACATGTCAAACTCCGCCTTTGGGTCATCTGCAGAAAATCAAGCTTTAAGTAGCAGTCCAAATTTAACGGTATATTTCCGTGTTATATAATGGATGTTTTCATAATTTTATTATTTGATAACTGTTGTATATATAAAAGACCTAATGTACCACGAAGCCTAAACAGATGGGGGAAATCAGACATTTGCGGTTTACAATTATTGATTTTTCAGAAGCATAACACTGTGACGTAGCCCATTCACAAGCTAATTATAGTCTTCATTTGCACGTAAAATTTAGTGTTACCATGGGGTTTTCCTTTTAATATCATAATTTCCTGTACATTAATTAATTAGATTTACAACAATACTATTAAAAAGGTTAATAAAAAAGTAGACTGTTTGGCTCCTAGATAGACGGCAAAATATTTCTAAATATTTATAAAATGCAGCTTTATGCTTTATGGAAGGGTGATTTAACATGTCAAACTGATTGCTTGCTGCATCGGTCCAAACCCTGTGAGGGACAAGCTGGGCAAGAAATTTTACGCTAATTGATTCCATGAACCTCTATATAAGCTTATAGCTTCCAGCAGAATCAAATAAAAAATAAAATATCCTATATTTATAAACTTGTACCCAACAAAATGATAATAGAAAAAATAAATCATGAAACTGGAAGTTTTAAAATGCAGAATCTAATAGTAGCTATTTAGTAAATCTGTTAGTATGAATAAAAATATATAAACTATATAAGTGTACTTGTTACAATTTGTGACAATAAACAATATACATGTCCTTGATACAGTTTGTGACAATAAACTCTATATACATGTACTTCTTTCAATTTGTGACAAGATTAAACTGTTAAACATTATACTAGTTAGTATAATTGAACCAACTTTTAGTAAAACTTCCTCTTTAGCCAAGTTAAAAGAGGGACAAAAACTCTGTCACAAAGATTACCCTTGTCTGTCCGCCCATCCGTCCATCGGTCCGTCTGTTCGTTCTCTTTTGTATGGCATGTAGCTCATGACACTTTACAGGAATGTTGGTGCACCTGGGTGTTTGCATGTAGATTTATTCAGTATTTATTATTAGTATTATAGACATTATCAGTTTAAACTTTAGAAAGTGATTCCACCCACTTAATGCTTACTTTTTATGAAATTGTATTAACAGTAAATTTTAACTAAATTTAACAAGGTATTAACAACATATGAAAGATATGACCCTGACCCTGGTCATCTTCAGCAGGTACATGGTTACGTGAACAAAGAGAACCATGGTCAGATATCTGGGAAAAAACCAAACATTAATGACCTTGACACATATGAGAACCAAACAACAGGAAATAAGAGCATTATGGGTAATAATGAAGAAGGTAAGCACTTGGGTGATCCTGATAAAAAGACATGCAGTCTGAATGAATTGGAGGAAAATGAAAATTACAGGGTACCAAAGAGAGAAAAAGAACTATTTAGAATGTTTAAAACTGATAAGGCTAATAAAGCCAAGAAAGAACAAAGAAAGGTTGAGGAACAAGAAGCACCTGCTTCATTGAATGATTTGCAAGAATATGAAAGCATTGAGCCACCATCAACTGCAGTGAAAGAGATCTCCCCATCGACTGCATTGAAAGAGATCAAAGAACTTTCTGACTGAGATACTTACGAAAATCTTGCTGTAAAGAAGATTTTTAAAACGAAGAGTCTTTTCTATGTTTTGTTTACCTTGTCTTGTAATTTTTTTACAGTGGTAAATGCAGATTTTTAGGAGAGTTCAGTACATGTATATTGATTTTGGACTCGTAAACTGTGCAAATGATATTTCCTAGGTTAGGATTTTCATTAAGAAGGAAAGTAAATCTCATCTAGCTTAATCCATAAGAGTGGACTTTAAGTCCAAGTTAAAAGAAGTCTTAGAATTACCCTTTTATTACATACTTCCTAAAATCTTAACTGAGGTTAAGTGCCTGCAATGTTATACATGATTACCTTTGAATGCTGATTTGTTCTTGGAAAATGTTGCAGTACTAATGACATAGTGTAACACGTGTTTAGATTAATTAATTGATGAGAATTTAGATTTACTTTTCTTACTTAAGAGAAAGACAATGTTTTTCTAATACATGCTACTGAAGGAAACATTTGTTTGACAATCCATCTATCTATATAAATTGTAAGTATGTACAAGTTACCTTTTTTTACAAAGTGAATTGTTTACAACTTTAAGAAATAGCCATGTCATTGCATTTTCCATTTTAACCGAAAACTACAATAGGTTAGGACACTGTCAATTTATTAAACAATGTCATTTGACTTCAGTAATCTCCACTTCCTGAACATCAGGAATAGATAAACCAAGTACGGATCAGCTTCTATAAGATGAAAACAGTTATAAAATTTACTGACAAAAAAGTTTTTACTGTGTTTGTTAAGTAATACAATGTGTCAGCATTTTTAAAGATTCTGAATTAAGAAAATAGGTTACATTTTTCACCCACAAAACTTTAATACTGTACTAGTACTTTATAATTTGATTGACCAGTACAAAAAGGTCAAGTCACTTAACGGCATTTTCAGAGTTTATGACCTAAGCAGTTAGTCGAATGACTTTTAGACTTTTAGACTAATTATGATCGATGGTTTCCCTTAATGGACTTTGATAATTAAACCAGTTTCTTGATGGTCATGATCTTCAGCTTATTGCTTTTGGGGCTATGCATTTTTCCAATCATATTTTCTTGGAAATTAATTTTTTGACATTGTTTTTTATTCTCTTTTTTTATATGATGGAATGTGAGTTGTGTAAATAGATTGTGAGAAAGAATACATTTGTATGCTGATAAATTTTAATTTTTAAATTTAAAAATTTTTTAAATTTATACATTGGGAAAGGCTTTTAGTTTTTTAGAAAGGTTTTTTATTTTTTTGGGTTTTTTTTAAAACCAAAAATGAAATTTATGTTGGGGGTGTAAGAAAATGGGTTTTAATTAAAATTTTATTTTTTGAAAATTTTCTCTTTTCTTTTCTTTTTTGGGCGGGGTTTAAAAAAAATTAAATTTGGGATTTTCTTTTAGTTTTTTTTGGGTTTTCCCTTTTTTTTGGTTTTTGGCTTGTTTCGGGGTTCCCCTTGGGAAAATTAAAAATTAAAACCCAACAGGGGGAACTTTCACTGGGGAAGGGGGCAAACGATTTCTTTTAGTTCAGGAAAATTTTTTTTTATTTTTCCTTTGGGAAATTTTTAAATTTTCTTAAATTGGTTTTCAATTTTTTACCATCCAAAATTTTTAAAAATCTTCCCTTAACCAAATTTTTTTAATAATTTTTAAAAGCTTTTTTCAATTTTAAAAATTTTTTGGGGTTTTTCAAATTTTAATTTTGGGGACCCGAAATAAAACTATTTGTTTCCTTTTTTTTGGCAAAAAAAAGGGGATTGGGGAGGGGTAGTTTAAAAATCCAAAGGGTTTAAACAGGTTTTTTTTGGGTTTTATATTTTAATTAAAAAATTTTAACGGTTTTTCCCCAAATTAAATTTTTCAATTAATTTTTTTAAATTTTTTAGAAAAAGGGGGATTTTACCGATTTTTCATTTCATTTTTTTTAATTTAAAAGGGGGGAATTTTGGGTTTAAATTTTTTCCTTAGAAGTTTAGGGTTTAAAAAATTTTAATTTTAAAGAAATTGGAATTTTTTTTTTTATTTTAATTTTTAAAAATGTAAAAAATTTTGGGAAATTGTTTGCAAATAAATTTTTTACAAAATTCCTTTTTTGATGTTTTTGGGAAAAATTTTTTTAGAACCAAAAATTTTATATTCATATAATTTAAAAAATTTCACCCCAAGGGGTTGGGAATTTTCCCATATTGGGGCTTTTTCCGCCCCTGGCCAGGTTAAAAAAAACGCAAAACATTTAAAAGGGACACCTTTTAATTTTAAAAATATTAGGATTTTTTAAAAAGGGTACCCGGTCAAATTTTTTAAATTTTAAAATTTTGGGGAATTTTCCCCTTTTAAATTTTATGCATTTTTTTTTCAGGGCCCAATCCCGAAAATTTTTTTATCTGTAAATTTTTAATATAGTTTTTTTCTGTGGGGAGTGAACTAGTTTTCCCTTTAGGTTATTATAAATTTTGTCTGGGGGAGGTAAAGGGGTTTTTTTGGTATTAAACTCATTTTTCCCAAAAGTTTTACTTTGGGGATTTCCTTTGAATATTCATGGGGTTTGGGCAAAAACTCAAAAATTGGGGTTTGGGTTTTTAAAAAATTAACCAATCCAAAAATTTTAAAAGCCTTTTAAAAAGTTTTTAAAGGGGCAATTTTTTTCAAAAGCCCAAAAAAGGAAAAATTAAAATAGCCAAAAGAGTTTTAATACTTTTTTTTTTATTTTTGGCCCGGGAAAAGGGGGAAAAATTTATTTTTTTTAAAACCCCCTGGCGTTTGGGCTTAAAGAACCCCAGGTACTTTTTTTGAACTTTTGGAGA